CCATGGGGAGTGAAACATCCCACAGGTTCCCATTGAGAAAAGCTGGAGCTGCTCTGCCTTCCGAATGTGGCCTTTTTTGGGGGTGGGGGGTCGCAGGAGGGGAAGGCCAGCGATCCCCTGCCAGACTCTTCCCCCGACGTCCCCCTTTTGCTTGTCCGTGTGGCAGGGGAGTTCACCCCAGAGATGCAGCTGCGGCTGCGGCAGGAGCTGGAGAAAGAGAAGAAAGTGGAGCCGTGGAAGGAGCGTTTCTTTGAAAGCTACTACGGCCAGAGGTGAGACGCTCGGCTGGTCCTCGCAGGCGCCTCTCCCTTTGGTGGGGAGACGTCCCTGAGCAGAGGCTCCAAACCAAGTCGCGATGGGCAAAGCTTCTTCGGGGGATCCCGTGATGGCGCTTCGCCCCGTGCCAAGCCCTCAGAAAGGAAGATGCTCCATTTTGCCTTGGTGCGGGGGCGGCAGCATCTCTGGGTGCCTGAGTGTAAGACCAGGAAGAGGGGCAGAGAGAAGTGCCGGGAAGAGAGGGGCTTGTAAACATGGTCTTCCGAGGGGGGGCAGGCGGGTTAAGTGCTGTGGAGGGGGGCAGCTGATGGCCCTGACTGGCTGTGAGGAAGTGCAAGGAGGGGCATTTCAGACCATGGCTGGGGAGAGCACCTGCAACAGTTGGAGAAGCAGCAAGCAGGTTGGAAAGGGGGAAGGAGAGAGAGAGAGAGAGAGAGAGAGAGAGAGCTTATTCCAAAGTAGAGTGTCTACTACACATCATCTTGAGCCTTCAGCTTTTAGCCCATGGTTCTCTCCTCCTCGTCCTCCTCCTGCTGGGGGCCCAGTGGGGCCAGGAGCCCTCATGGTCAAATCCCTTGGGACGCTTGGACCTTGTCCTGCACGAACGGCCCTGGCCTGTGTCAAACCGCAGAGAAGCCAGCGCGTGTGTGCGTGGAGGAGGGCCGCCCTGTGTCTGACCGGTTCCTCTCCTTTCTCCTCCTGCTTCTAGTTCTGGGCTGAGTCCCGAAGAGGCCAGGCTCCTCACCTCCTCTCCCACGGCGGCTCAGAGAGATGCCCCCGCCAGGAGCACGGGAACCCTGCTGC